TCCCAGCACCCTGTTTTCATTTTTTTTTGCAGTACTGGGGTTTGAACTCAGGGCCTCAAACTTGTGAGGCAGGTTCTCTACCTCTGAGCCATGCCTCCAGACTTTTTTGTACTAGTCATCTTGAAATAGGTTCCTTTTTTTTTTTTTGACCTGGACTAGCACTGGACATTCATCCTCCTATTTTTAGACTTCCTATCATAGTTGAGATGACAAGTACATGACACCATGCCCAGATTTTCTGTTGAGATGGAGTCTCAGATGGAGCCACAGCTCTAATTTTAGCTTTTTCTGTGATCAATTGGAGATAAAAATCTCATGGACTTTCCTGCCCTGGCTGGCTTTGAACCACGATCCTCAGATCTCAGCCTCCTGAATAGCTAGTATTAGGCATGAGCCACTGGTGCCTGCCTCCTTCCTAATTCTTTTCCATTTGCTACCCTCAGCAAAAAGCCAGGCTGGAGGCAAAGCTCAGATCCATGCAGAGCAAGCAAGTTTAGCAAGCACCAAGCAGCATGGGCAGTCTCTGGCCTGGCTATCATCTGCCAACCCTGAAGTGCTTGCAGCCAAACCTAGATGGCTGAAGCCTTTCACTGATCATGGTTTGGGGCTAATCCAAGTGACTTGTCTTACCTTCTAAGTGATGATAGCTTTAAACTTCCCAAAGTCGCCTTGTTCTTTTAGCTCACTTGCTTTTTGGAAGTAGCGCAGTTAGAAGGTTTTAGAGAAAAACCCTCTTCCCCATTCCTCCCCATGTCTCAGGCAAGGGCATTCTTTTCCAGCTACAAACTGGTTTCTCCGGGCCTGGTACATTTCCATGTGCTGTCTCTTCCAGCTCTGTGTGTCCGGGATTTGCCAAGGTACCCAGTACCTACTGGCCAGGACAGGCCTTGTCACTCCTTTTTTGTTCAATTCTCAATCTCAGAGTTGCCAGATATCTCCTTTATAAAGGGAGACTTTACACGCTGCAAAGCTGGGAAGAGGTCAGCCAGAGGGGAATTCCTGGAGAAGGGGGATTTTAAGCTGGGCCTGAGGCAGGGAGAGGACAGGATTAAAGGAAGAAGGAGAGAACACAGTGGTGTTCCAGACTGAAGCAAGAACAGGCTGCAGGCAGGTGATAGCAGAGACCCCAGAGGGCCAATATAGGAAGGGAGGGAGGGGGCGGGTCTGCACAATTGGTAGAGAGGTATGGCTTTAGTGAGTGGCTGGCCCGCTAGACCTGGAGAATCCTAATTCAGAGAGGCTTGGGATAACTAGACATAATGGCCTGATTTGGGGGCTTTGACTCTCAGTCCTCCTATCTAACATAGTCTGTGCATTTGGATTCTTTTTCTTTTTGCCTGTCCTGGGTATTGAACACTGGGCCTGGGTAAGCTCCTTTTGCTTGAGCTACAGCACCACTTCTGGCTTTTTCATAAGAGTCTTCAATTTTTCTTTCTTGCCCAGGTTGACTTGGAACTGGGATCCTCAGCCTCCTGAGTCATTAGGATTATAGGTGTGAACTACCAGTGTTCGGGTCTAGGATCTTTTTTCCCCCCATTTATTCTGCACTTAGTAATTCCCACCAGAACCAGGCATGGTTTGGCTTGGGAAAAGATCAGGATCAGAAGTGAAAGGAGTCCTGGCTTCTCTGATTTTGGAATGAAAGAGTAAAAACACACACACACACGTGCATACACACAGAACTATGTAACTGCAAGCCAGTGAAGAGTGCTGTCTCCTAGGAAGGCAGATATGTTGTTCAGGCAAGGGAGAGTGACCAGGGCTGAGCTAGGAGTCAAAGGACAGGAGGCATCTGGACCTAGAGGCATGGGAGAAGGACTGCTCAGGATGAAGCCATTGTGAGCAGAAAGGGTGAAGCGCAAGTATGGGGGCACAGATGAAGGGAAGGAAGTCAGCTCAGTGCATGACACAATGAACCTTGTGGCCACTGTCACCTCCTCTCCTTCCACCTAATGCCAGAGCCACTGAGCTCCCCCAAACTACTGAGCAGGTATGTGAAGAAAGCAGTGAAATATTGCTAGGCTGGAAAGGGGCAGCAAACCCACACAAGATCTTTGCATGCCAAGATAAGACATTGCCATATGTGTATGTTATATATATATGATAAAAATATATGTTAATTAACTAATTGCCAGTCCTGGGTCTTGAACTCAGGGCACTGTCCCTGAGCTTCTTTCAAGGTTTTGAGCCATAGTGCCACTTCAGGCTTTTTCTGTTTATGTGGTACTGAGGAATTGAACCCAGGGCTTCATGTGTGCTAGGCAAGCACTCTACCACTGAACCACATTTCCATACCATAAATAACAGTTTTACACACACATACATAAATTTTTTTTTTATGGTCCTGAGGGATGAACTTAGGGCTTTCCACTTGGTAACCATTTGAGCCACATTCCAGGCTATTTTTTTCTTTTTCTTTTTAATCTTCCTACCTCTGCCTCCTGATTACCTGGAATTACAGGCATGTACCACCATGCCCAGCAAGACAATGCACTACAGTAAACAATATTAACTACTAAAGGTTCTCTAGTAGGAGAGGATGAAATCTGCTCTAGAAAAATGAAATTTGAAACCAGGTGCTGATGGCTCACACCTGTAATCCTAGTTACTCAGGAGGCTGAAATCTGAGGATTGTGGTTCAAAACCAGCCTGGGCAGAAAAGTCCATGTGACTATCTCCAATTAACCACCAGAAAACAAAGTGGAGCTGTGGATCAAAGTAGTAGAACACTATCCTGGAGCAAAAGAGCTCAGAGAAAACACCCAGGCCCTGAGTTCAATCCCCACACCACACACACACACACACACATACCACACACACACACCACACACACACACACACATACCACACACACACACCACACACACACACACACACACCACACACACACACACACACACACACACACACACACACGAAAGAAAAATGAAGCAGCATTCACATGAGTGGGAGACTGAGGAAATGTGGGGGTGTGGGGAGCGGGTGGTGTCAGTTGAGCCTCCTGTGAACTTCAGGGTTTATTTCCAATCAGGGTGGACTGTTTTGCCAATTACTGGTAGATGGCAAAGGTGAAGGGGAGGTCTTAACTGCACAGCCCTCTGTTAATTGCTGGAAGGTCCTATCAGAATGGTGTTTGCTAAGTCAGGATTTGAATAACTCATTTTCTTTCCCGTATCTTTCACATCTCCACCTGGGGATGCCCACAGCCCGCCTCACCCCGTCAGCATGTGTAAAACTCACCAAGTAAGGAAAATGATAAACCTTTCAGGGTTTTTCTCTCCTCTCTCTGTCCAGAGTCCGTTGCTTTCTTAAGCATGGGACCCTTCTGAGCCTGAACAAGGAAACTATTCAGCCTGGCCCAGGGAGAGAGGGAGGAAGACACTTCCTGCTCTCTCCCTTCCCTGGCCAGGACAGGACGTGGCTTTGGATCCAAGACCCAGAGAATCAGAGCTGATAAAGGCCCATTGTGGCAGCCTCTGAGAAACCCAGGGGCCATCAGGGGGCTCAGAGGCTAAGTCAGTTAACAGCTCTTGAACATTTGTGAAAAGAATTACTTGGCGGAAGTCAGGGCAGGATGAGACCCTAGGGTAGATACTGAGAGATGTGCCTTTGCCATCCATGACAGACCTTGCCCACTGCCCCAAGGGCTGACCTGAAGCAGAAGGAACCCAGACTCTTGTTTTGTTTAAGGCTCAGAGCTCCCTGACACCTGGAGTATGAAATCCAATCTCCTGCCAAATGCAGGAAACAGAGGGCTCTCTAAAAAAGGCCTAGGGGAGAGAGTGGAGCCTCCTGCCATCCCTCCCCCTGAAGGGTGTCCAGAGCAATCAGCAATAAACAGCAGGAAAGGAGGAAGGCTTCAGTGGAAGCCCGTCTGGAACTTATTTAGGCATTATGCTCTTCTGCTGCAGTCCTTCACATGCTTTTGAGTCCAGGCACCTCATCACTTGCAGGCCTCCCATTCTTAACAGCAAACACAGCAGGAAGAGACAGAAGCCTGAGATGAATGTGGCCAGGAGACGAGATGGGGGGCTTGGGTGGCAGCTCAGAGGTTCAGCGGAGGGTCAGGAGCCCATCACACAGTGGCCCTGTTCCCAAAGATAGAAAGGGCCAGACCCTTCTGAGAGGCCCTGCATGGGGTTTATGGTGTCAGGAGACCTCAGTCCTTACTTGTACACCCAATCTGTGCATCAGGTCCTCTTTTCCCAGCTAACTGTGGCTTCTGGCCCTCTGGGAGAGGAACTGCAGAATTCAGGTTAGAACAGAGATTGGTGCGGGCAAGATATGTGCTGGTTCACTGAATATTTCTGTGCTGTTCTTCAACACGTAGAGGTAGGTGATGGACAGTTCATTTCTCAGTCCTGGTCTCTATTATCACCATCCAAAATACATAATTTGGACACCTGTCAAATGCCAAGGCACTTTTTTTTTTTTTTCCATCAGCAGTGGGGGCTTGAACTTTGGGCCTGGGTGCTGACCCTGAGCTTTTCAGCTCAAGGAGAGTACTCTACCACTTGAGCTACCGTGCCACTTCTGGTTTCTTGGTGGTTAATTGGAGATAAATGTCTCCCAGACTTTCCTGCTCCATGCTGGCTTTGAACAACAATCCTTAGATCTCAGCCTCCTGAGTAGCTAGGATTACAGGCATGAGCCACTAGCGCCCAGCTCCATGAAACTCTTATCTCCAATCAACCACCAAAATCCAGAAATGGAAGTGTGGCTCAAGAGGCAGAATGTCAGCCTTAAGGGTTAAGCATTAGAGGGCAGCACATAATCCCAAGTTCAAGCCCCAGTACCAGCACACCTACAAAGTTTACTTCACACTAGAGTGGGATCCCGAACACAGTACAAAGCACCTTCTGAAACCTGTTTTCTGCCTTGCTGGATATTTGTTCCTAGCTAACACACACAGGCAAACACACAGACACACACACACTGCTAGAATGCTCTGTTCTGCTCCCACAGTTCCCACAAACAAAAACCAACCCCTAAGACAGCTGGAAGGTCTGGGTGTCATTTATTGACAGCGGTTTACACACATTTGTTTGCTTCCCAAGACTGTTTCCTTCTCAGCGCCACACACAGCACACAGCCCTGGGGAAGGGCAGACTTGGAGCGGGAACGCAGGACGCACATGTCTTTGGCAGGCAGGCTCAGTTCAGCCCCAACAGGATGCAATCCTTCAATCTGGAATTCCACTGGGTATCTGAGAGGGACCAAGGTGGGGGGTGGAGAGGAAGTCTTCAACAGGACTCACATCTCAGTCCAGGCCTCTCCTACTACCCAAGTCCATCTCAGTTTTAGGACCCTGGGGGGCAGCAAAATCAGGCCCACCCACCTCAATAGGGGCAGATCCCTCACTCCATGCCCTGGCTTATGCACACCTGCTTCCGCCGGTCGAACACTTAGAAGGAATCAGCCTCATGGTAAAAGACAAACTACTTCCTCTCTGACCCTCCCCGGCACCTCCTCAGCTGCATCTGTACAGGAACGGTTGGAAAAACTGAGGGCTGATCCTTGATTTCGCTGCACGTGGCATGGTCCTCAAGTCTTCAGTAAATGACAGGATGAAGGCTACAGGTCTATTTTGGCTGCCAGCTGAGCTCCTGTCCGTCCGTCACACACACAAACTGCCCTGCCTTCTGCCAACTGCCAGCGCCAGCAGGCTCCAAAAGAACCAGAGCCAGTCTGTATAGGCACTTGGCAATTTTTGGTAGAGAGATGGATTAAAAAAAAAAAGGTAGAATGAAAGAGCTTCAGTTGATAATTAAAGATCGGAAGTGATTTATTTCCTTCATTTTAAGCCAATCATGAAATTTCACAGTGATTTCTGGGGTGCTGCTCAGAATCCTAAGGGCTGGGGTCCAGTTGACCAAGGAAGTATAGGCAGGGCAGGCCTCACTGGGGCAGCTGGAGAAGCACAGACTGCCCTGAAGGCAGGTAAGTGATGTTGCGTGAGCGCGAGAGCTGGTATGCAATGTCCTCCGCGGCTTCCAGCTTACGCAGCTCAATCAGGCCATCACCTGCCGTGGCCAGGGAGTTGGCAATCAGCTCGGCCGCCTTGGAGTCGCCCTCAGCAGAGATGATGGCCGCCTTCTTCTGCTGCTCAGCCTAAAGAAGTGGAAGAGACCAAGACCAAGAGCATACCTCAGGGCACTGGATGTCAGGTTATGGCCTACAGGACCAGGACAGATACAGTAGCTGGGTCCTTAAGACACCTTGGGAACTTCTTTCCCTTGTGGCTGAGTCAACTAGCACACTGTTCTAGTCCCCCTCTTTTTTGACACTGTTGGGATAGACCTCTGTTGGCTATGTTTTTTTTTTTTTGGGGGGGGTCTGGTTGTGGGGCTTGAACTCTGGGCCTGGGCGATGTCCCTCAGCTCTTCAGCTCAAGGCTAGCGCTCTACCACTTGAGCCACAGCGCCATTTCTGGCTTTTTCCTTTTTGCTTATATGGTGCCGAGGAATCAAACCCAGGGCCTCAGGCATGCAAGGCAAGCGCTCTACCACTGAGCCACCTTCCCATCCTTCTGTTGGCTATGTATCTGTCTTTTTTCAAAGTCTTCAAAACCAATAGCAGTTCCATCCAGTCACCAATATTGAGCCAAGAGAATCTAAGGCCATGGAAAAGGAAGAAAAGGAAAGATAGCTCATCTATCTTTCCCTCCAGTTCCAAGTCAAAATGAGCAGAGCTGTGCTGAGGGTGCAGCTCAGTAGTAAACCACTTGCCTAGCAAGTGGATTTGATGTCCAGCACCATGTGCGCACACATACACACACACCATTTAATAGCGCTAAGGAAAAAGCAGTCTACATGTATGAGTCTCTCCCAAGAGACTGGACTCCGACCAGAAACCAAATGAGATTACCTTGGCCTCCCATATTAATACTAACAAGATGAAATCTGTTTGGGACATACGACCTTTAGAATGTGGGAGAATACAGTACTGCACCTCTCTGAAACCAAGTGTTCTTTTTCTCATGTTACTGGGGCTGGAATCCAGGTAAAATACACCCACAACCCAACACACATTTTGAAATTGTTAAGGTGTTGGTTCAACAAATGTGGACTGTACATCTAGTACCACCAGGCAGTGCTAGACTTGGTACAAGCTCTAGAGACATGGCAGGCACAGATCAAAACAAGTCCCTGCCCATATGGAGCTTACATTTTCCCAAATCAAATACAGCCCTCTTCTCTCTAAGGATTAAAAGGTCATGAATTAAGAATATTTGTGGGGGTGCTGGGAAGGTGGCTCAGTGGTAGAGTGCTTGCCTTGCATGTATGAGGCTCTGGGTTCGATTCCTCAGCACCACATAAGCAAAAAGAAAAAAGCCGGAAGTGGCGCTGTGGCTCAAGTGGTAGAGCGCTAGCCTTAAGCTAGCTGAGGGACAGCGCCCAAGCCCAGAGTTCAGGCCCCACGACTAGACCCCCCCCCAAAAAAAATTTGTGAGCTGGGCACTGGTGGCTCACATGGTAGAGCACTGACCTTGAAGAACTAAGGGACAGTGCCCAGGCCCAGAGTTCAAGCCCCACAACTGACATTAAAAAGAAGAAGAGGAGGAGGAGGAGGAGGAGGAAGAGGAGGAGGGAGGGGGGAAGGAGAAGAAGAAAGAAAGAAAGAAAGGAGGAGGAGGAGGAGGAGGAGGAGGAGGAGGACGAGGAGGACGAGGAGGACGAGATTTGAGATTTGTGGCAGCTAGATACCAATGGCTCATGCCTGTTATCCTAGCTACTCAGGAGGCTGAGATCTGAGGACCTTGGTTCAAAGCCAGCCTGGGCAGGAATATCCTTGAGATACTTATCTAATAAACTACTCAGGAAAAGCTGGAAGTGGCGCTACGACTCAAGTGGTAGAACACCAGCCTAGAACAAAAGAAACTCAGGGATAGTGCTCAGGCCCAGAGGTCAAGTCCCAGGACTGGAAAAAAAAAAAAAAATTGTGGCCAGGCGCTGGTGGCTCATGCCTGTAACCCCAGCTATTCAGGAGGCTGAGATCTGAGGATTGTGGTTTGATGCCAGCCAAGCAGGAAAGTCAGGACTCTTATCTCCAATTAATCATCAAAAAGCTGAAAGTGAAGCTGTGGTTCAATTGGTAGAGCACTAGCTTTGAGCAAAAAAACCTAGGGACAGTGCACAAGCCCCAAGTTCAAGCCTCAGGAATGGTGTGCACATGCCCGCGCACACGTGTGTACGCACACGCACACACATACACACACAGAGAAAAATGATGGGAACAAAGGGACAGCAAATAAATAACCTTTACAAACATCAGGAAGACCAGGCTGTAATGCAAATGCATTGTGTTCCATCACTGACACATCTGGATGGATTTAGCAATAGAAAAAAAAAACACAAAAAAAAACCCCAGCGACGATAGCTCATCTAGTGTAACGTTTGATCTTTTTTGCTGTCAGCTTTCACTATATAACTATGGTTAAAAATGACTTCTCAGCAGAGCTGAAAATACTCTAGGAGTAACATTTTTACTTGTAAGACAGAGTTTTTGATCTTGGGCAAGTGGGAAAAAAAAATGACCCTTCAGTGATTTAGGAACATAAGTTCACATATCCCTGACTGGCCCCCAAAGACTCTGGAACCAATTGCAGGACTAAGGTTCCTTCAATCTCCTTCCGATTATCCCGGAAGAAGAGATGACAGATAATGAATTTCCAGGCCACCCAGCAGATGGGGAAGCCCTGCACAGGAGAAAGGGAAAGAACTCCTACCATCTGGTTGAATGCTCACCTTTTCCACCACAAATCTGGCCCTCTCTGCTTCCTGCTGAGCCACCTGTTTGGCTTCCACTGCTTCTGTGAACTCCTTCCCAAAGGTCAGATGTGTCTAGGGAGAGTGAGTGAGCACAAGCTGAGGCAGTATAATTGCTTAGACAGCATCACTGAGAGGCCTCCCTGGCTGCTGGAAGAGGCCAGGAATGGCTCTAGCAGCTGGAGGCATGGCGAGACACTCTCCCACCTCGACTCCCTAATCCACATTAAATTTACACCTTGGGATCCTTGGGTACCCACACTGCACCTACATACCATTCTATGTGTGGCCACACCACACAGAACCCACCCCTGGCTCCAGACTCTTGACAGGCCTACGGGTACCAGAAGGTTATTTACTCAATTGACACTCCTGTAGAGAAGACCTGGGCTCTAAGACCCTTTACTACTAACTAGGCTAGTGCCCTTTCAAGTTCTTTTGATGCCCTCCTCAAAGACCCAAAGGAGACCAGATGGAAAGTTGAGCCCCTGAGAGAAGAGTTTGCCGCCAGTTCCCAGGGATCCAAGAACCTGATGTTTTCTGCTTATGGATTAACCAGGCCCTTCTCTCTCACAGCTCCTCCACCACAAAACAGGAAGAGAGAGAAAGTGGAGTACAAATCATGGCCTTCCCAACATGTGAGTGGTTCTGGTAAAGGGTTTAAAAGAAAACAGGAGGCAGGTAAAGCCATTGGTCAGGGTGAGGGTTTAAGTCTGATTATCCCTAGACCTTCGCTAATCACGTAAATAAGGAGACCTGGCTGAAGTGGCTGTCTCTAAAGATAAGCACCATGGGAACTAGACGTCAGATTCCTAACTGCCTAGCCTAGAGAAGTTTACTTCCCCATCCAATTTTCAACTGAAAAGGAAACAAAGGAAGACCACTGGTTTTGCTATCAAATGGTATTTGTTTCATTTCCTTCTCTACCCTCCCAATAGCAGCTTTTAAAAAATATAAGTAGAGTTCAACCTTCTGAGGAGTAAATCCTGGCCCCCTGATCTTCCAGAGTTTTTAATATTACCCTCCTAACTCTTAAACTGCAGCTGCTCTACTCTGAGATATTTCTGGACTCTTGCTCCAAGTTTGGGTAAGAAAACACGATCTTGAGAAATGAAAAATGAACTATATAATTGAGGAATAAAATTCATTTCTAAAAGGGCCAGCTGAGGGCAGCAAATTCCCCAGGAAATCTAATTTTCTCCTCACGCCTCTTAGATATGGTTTCTTGCGGTCAGCCCACAGTTCCCCAGAATGGAGTGTGTGGTCAGAGTCTAGAGAAATGCCAAGTTTTTTCCTCAGGTTTTTACTTAGTGTGTTCTCACAGCCAAGGTGCTTGGGTTAATAGTAAGTGGGGAGAGCCTGAGCCAGGGTTCTTCAAAGCAGCAAAAAGCTGCAGCATGATGTGTTGCCAACAGAGGGAGCCCCACATCCTTGTCCTTAGAACAACGGAGGCAAGGTGGAGCGGAGCCCTCAGGGTTAGTAGGGGGTGTTCAAAACCACTGTTTAAACAGCTGCACAGATGCAGAGGGGAAACCCAGCTTTCCTTAGCGATGCACAGGAGAACTGAACAGGAAACACACTACCTCACTACCCGAACAAATCACTCCAAGTGATTCTTCCCAGAGAATCTAGAAACACGACCCCTTTCCCCTCACCTCCTCAACCTGAAATGCTATCCTGCCTGTATTGCTTTCTGTCTGAGTTATGACATTCAATGTCACATAAATACACAGACTGTAATGTCTCAAGAGGCTAGCTTACACCTCAGCAATGTCCTCCGTCCCCCTCCCCACCATGCCAGGCCTTGGGGGACAGATCTACTCATTTGCACTCTATCACCTTTCACTGGGAACTCCCAGAACTCACTTTACTTCAGACCCTGTGCTGGGAAATCCCAGAGGTCAGGAAGGGAGATCTGTGTTAGGGAGAAAGGCTACCAAGCTGCTCTCTGGTCTCTCCCAGGCAGTTTCTCTTGGTGCCAAACATGATTAATAAGGTATTGCTTTCTAGGGAGTTCTGGGGAATATCAGACCATTTGGTGGTTACAGACCATTTGGGGGAGGTTATAAAAATGTGTATGGCAGATGGCAGAAAACATACCCTGATGTCATTCAGAAATTTCCATTTCTCACGTGGGAAAGTGGGAGGCAGGACCCAACCATGTTTGCCCAGAAATAAGTCGGGTAGCTAATCACCAAATGCAGCCCCTTCCCTCTGGCCTGCCCTAGAACATACCAGGGACACGTCATCCAGGATGAGCCCAAAGGTTGCTGCTCGCTCTGTGAGGTCATCGCTCACCTGCCTGGAGACCAGCTCTCTTTGGGTGATCAGTTCCCCAGCATCAAAGCGAGCCTGGTTTCAAAGGGATGGATGGAAAGCCAGTTAGTAAAGGAGCAGAAAAAGTACCATGAAATCAGCTAAACCCTAGCTCCCTCCCTTGCCATCAAGACCGACACCCCCCCCACCCCCCCTGCAGAGCTCCTATAGCCACCCAGCCATTTCTGGGTGCTCTGGGTAGGAGGCTGAGGGTCCCGTCAACTCACCACCACAGACTTGAGGATCTCTGTAGTGATGGATGGCAGTACGCGCTCATCATAGTCCTCTCCAATGCTAGTGTAGATACGAGGAAGCTGGCTTGCAACTGGCCGGAAGAGGATTCGTAGTGTGATATTGACGTTCTGCAAATCTTAGGGTAGAAGACAGACACTGGAGTTACTGCTTAATGGTTTCAGTGATGACACTAGCTTCTCGGTACATCCTGGATGCTCTGACAGGAACAATCCAGGTGACACGTTGCCAGCCATGCAATGTTTGGAATACTAGACATGCTAATGCCTTTTCAAGGCCTCGTGAATATGCCCAAGTCAGAGACAGCTTTAGTAGGTTAGAGTGGGTTGGTGGAAACAGCACTGACTAGCCAGCAGTCCTCAGGGCTGGGCCCTGGACCCATCTCACCCTGCTGGTTACTATGGTCTGATGGAATCGTAAACAACCAGAATTTCCTTTGCTTTGAGAATGGGGATGATGCAGGGATGGTGGGGGAAGCGCACCCTTTAATATATGTAACTGACATATGGGTTCCCACATACTCACTCTCAGATCATTTCTTGAAGGCGGAAAGAAAGCCTGGTACTCCCAGGGCACGAATGGTTCTAGCAAAGGGTTTAAAGCAAAGACAGGCAAGCTATGGGCAGAGTGAGGGGGGGTGTTAACAGGCAGATTATCCAGACCTTCCCACAGGCTGCGGGGAGATAGCTTTCACTTACAGCCTCCACAGAGTTAAAGACCCAATCACTGAATGGACATATAAGGTAGTCTCGGAACACTTGCAAGCCAGTACAGAAAGAAATCCCACGGGCTGGAGTTGTGGGTCAGGTGGTAACTCAGCCAATGAGTGAAAGCCAGCGTCAGTGAGTTTGAGTCCTGGTCTCAGACCAAACAACAACAACAAAAACCACCTCTCTAAGAGGTGGCAAGTCTAGAAGCAGGCTTTTATGTTATGTATTTCATGCCCGCCTTACTCTTTTAAAGAAGGCTACTGCAATTTCTTGGCCAGGAGCTAGACAGATTTTTCCATTTCCCTATGACCCCTTCTCGGCCTCCACCTCACCCTATCAGACAACAGGACCCTACTCAGAACTTAGTTCCTATGGGTACCTTCGCAGACCTGGGGGCGTTGGTGACTCTCCTCTGTATTCCCCTATAACTCATAGGGCCTTGGCTCTGGCCCTTCCCAGACTCTATAGTTCACTCCCAAGACTCAGCTTCTCAAAGGTGCTCATTTGGCTGGACCCCGGTGGCTCACCTGTAATCCCAGCTATTCAGGAGGCAGAGATCTGAGGATCTTGTTTTAAAGCCAGCCAGGAGAGAAAAGTCAATGAGACTCTTATCTCCAATAAACTAATCAGAAAAGGCTAGAAGTGGTGCTATGGCTCAAGTGGAAGAGCGCTAGCCTTGAGGACAAAGAGCTCAGGGACAGTGTCCAGGCCCTGAGCTCAAGCTCAGGACTGGCAAGAAAAAGGTGCCTGTCATCTCTTTACCCCTCTACCCTACACACCAGCACCAACCCTAGCACTATCAGAGGAAGTTAACATCTGCTGAGAAATGACAGGGAGGGCATCGAGTGTTAGTTATAGAGCCCATCTGTGAGTGACTGGGGAGAAGAGTGATGGGCATTCATTCCAGGCTGACTGGGAACCCTGTGGGACATGTCAGACACCAGGCTATGGGACAGCGATCTGAGTGCTGCACTGCTGGAGCAGAGGCCGTGGAAAGCGAGGCAAAGGGCAATTCCACCACAAGGGCCAGGGGCTGTGGTTTAGATAGTCACTCTGGGGAACAAGAGCTGATGGGAAAGGGGGAACTGAAGGGAAAAAAAGGCTTATTTAAGAATTCTTTAAAATTACATCACCAGGCCTCTCTTACATCTTTGTACATGTCTCTAACTTTGTTCTGTGTGTATACCTTAATGACACATTTCTGCCTCTGAACCCATATAAAACTCTCCTGGGCAAACGCACTATGAATTAGTATGATGTAAAGTTCAATCTCTTTTGGACCTTGGTGTCCTACAGATGCTTCTAGCACAGCACCCTTCCACACTTCCTTCACCGCAGGCAACACTCACCTTTGCTCCCAGTGATGACCGGCACATTACGTGGCCGAGAGCGGCAGTCAAAGATAATCGGTTTCTGTACCCAAGGGATCAGAAAGTGAGTCCCTTCCCCTACCACAATGTCCTGAACACCACGGAATCGGTCAAAGATGACAGCTCTGTGCCCAGCATCCACTAGGGAGGAAGGATAATGACAGGTCAGAAAAACTCCTTTACCCTTTAGCCAAAAGGATCTGCCTTTCAAAGGTCTCTGCTGCTTTCTATTCATTTATCAAGTTGCCCCTCTCCTGCTCTGGCTGACCAAATTCCCGGGCTGTAGAAGCTTCTAAAAATCTACAAAACTAAATAATGACTTCCTGTCCCATATGATTCTCCAAGGACTTTGGTAAGGGGATCTGTTCCTTAACATGTTTTCTCCTTTTTCTCTTGGTGGTACTGGGGGGAGGGGGAGTTGAACTTAGGGTTTATGACACTCTACCACTTAAGGCACACCCCAAGCTTTAGTGTTTTTGTTTGTTTTTTGACAGTCCTGGGGCTTGAACTCGGCCTAGGCACTGTCCCTGAGCTTCTTTTGCTCAAGGCTAGCGCTCTACCACTTGAGCTACAGCGCCACTTCCAGCCTTTTCTGTTTATGTGGTACTGAGGAATCAAACCCAGGGCACTCTACCACTAAGTCATATTCCCAGCCCACTTTAGTTATTTTTCAGATAAGGTCTTCCATTTACACCTAAGCTGGCCTCGACCATGATCCTTCTATGTATGCTTCTCAAGAAGTGGGAATGAAAGGTGTAAACCATGCCCAGCTTTTATTGGTTGACTGGGTTCTCACTTTTTTGTCTGGGCTGGTCTCTAACTCCCAAACTCTACCTCCTAAGTAGCTGAAATTTATAGGTATGAGATCACTGCCTGTCTGGCCCACTCATTTTCTCATCTTCCTATATTTCCCTCTTTCTCTCTTCTTTTCTTTGTGTGATGATAGGGATTGAACCAAGGGACTTACGCATGCTAGTAGGCAAGAATTCTACCAACTACATCTCCAAGTCTTGTTGATTTTCTAATTAACCATCCCACTCACAAAATCCCACTAACACAATTCCAAGTGACACAAAGACCTCCAGTTATGGGGCTGGGAAGGTGGCTCAGTGGTAGAGTGCTTGCCTTGCATGGCATGAGGCCCTGGGTTCGATTCCTCAGCACCACATAAGCAAAAAGAAAAAAGCCGGAAGTGGCGCTGTGGCTCAAGTGGTAGAGCACTAGCCTTGAGCTGAAGAGCTGAGGGACAGCACCCAGGCCCAGAGTTCAGGCCCCATGACCGGACCCAAAAATAAATAAATAAATAAAGATCTCCAGTTATTATATATCTAATGTAGCTCCAATTTAACTAACACTCCTAGAGTCTCTATGGGAATCCTGAAATGTAAAGGGTTCCTTCTTGTCCCTCTTACTAATGTACCCCAGACTGGCCTCAAACTGCTACCCTTCTGCCTGTATCTACAAAAAGAGTGCCAGGATTACAAGCGGGTGCCATCACATCCAATAGTTGTTTCTTCAAAGTTTTAGGGCAGGGCTGGGAAGTTGGCTCAGTGGTAGAGTGCTTGCCTCGCATGCATAAGGCCCTGGGTTCGATTCCTTAGCACCACATAAGCAGAAAAAAGCCGGAAGTGGTGCTGTGGCTCAAGTGGTAGAGTGCTCGCCTTCAGCTGAAGAGCTGAGGGACAGCACCCAGGCCCAGAGTTCAGGCCCCACGACCGGACCCAAAAAACAAAAAACAACAAAAAAAAAAAAACAAAGTTTTAGGGCATACTGAGCTGTCTTGTTGGTTGAGGGAGAAATTCAGAGATGGTGACTACTGTCTAGATCTCATCAAAAGGATTACAATATCTACATGTCTATAATCCTGGCTAGTCAGGGGGCTGAGATCAAGAGGACTGAAGATCAAGCCCAGCTCTTGGCAGAAGTTCACTAGCCTCCATTTCCAGCAAAAGCAAGGCTGGAGGTATGGCTCAAGTGGTAGAGTACCAACAGTAAGTTCTAGGTTCTGACTTTAAATCCCAGGACCACCAAAAAAAGCATCCCATATAAGCCAAGCAAGCCTTTCTAATTACATTGTTTTTGTCTTTTCCCCTCTGGAGTTTAGGACTCGGTCTAAATATCTTCTGAAAAATAATCCTCTTGTCCAAAAGCTATACATTAGGTTGGTCAATGGTAAAAAGTTATAGAATGTCAGAGTTGGTGTCTTAGTGATAAACTAGTCCAACTCCATTGTTGTAGAAGAAGCTGAGGTTTAAAGAGGCAGAAGCAACTTATCCTAATTCCATGTAGTAAAGAGAAGAAAAGCCAACTTAAAACTACTGCCAAACCATTAAGTTGACAAAAACAGCTGGAGTTATCTAGCCAGCATCTGGGCTGGAAGGCCATTTTGAACAATGGCTCCAAGAAAATGGGCAATTTGCAAGACAGGGCCTCTGATAGTAGTACAACTAACTATATTGTGTGGGGTAGCACTAGGTAAGCCCTCTTGGCTACAAACACATTCATGGACAACAGCTACCATTAATAGTCTCCAATGAAGTCACCTTAGGTCCCCAGTGCCTCACCATTATATAAGGCAGAGTTCACCACGCCTCCTGCGACAGCTAGGGCCAGGCCAAACTTGCCAATGGACTCAAATATTTTGGCAGCCATGTTTCCTTCTGTTGGACCCACTCACACCTAAGGGGTAAAAAATAAAACAACATAAAACAACTTGATCCCAAATCCTCACAGAAAGTCTGAACCCCAACATCACTTCTTAAGCTTATTCTTCACTCTCAAGAGCTCTAAATCGCCCACAGAGGGACACCTAACAAATCTGTGTGTCTTGCAAACAGTAACGCCATTTTCCCTCCATTTTTTGCTTGTGTAATTGCTTTGTGTGTAGGCAGACACTGTGGCTTGAATTCAGGGTCTAGTCACTGTCCCTTAGCTTTCTGCTCAAGGATGGCAGTCTGCCACTTGAACCACACCTTAACTTCCAGCTTTTTGATGGCTAACTGGAGATAAAGAGTCTCATGTGCTTTCCTGCGTGGGCTGGCTTCAAACAACCATTGTTAGCCTCAGTAGCTCGATTACAAAGTGTGAGCCACTAGTACCCAGATTGCTTTGCTTTTTTTTTTTTTTGCCAGTCCTGGGGCTTGAACTCAGGGCCTGGGCACTGTCCATAAGCTTCTTTTGCTCAAGGCTAGCACTCTACCATTTGAGCCACAGTGCCACTTCTGGCTTTTTCTGTATATGTGGTAGTGAGGAATCAAACCCAGGGCTTCATGCATTCTAGACAAGCCCTCTACCACTGAGCCACATTCCCAGCCAGCCCCCACCCCCCCACTTTTCTCTTTCTCTCTCTTTTTTTTTCTTCCAGTCATGGGGCCTGAACTCTGGGCCTGGGCGCTGTCCTTCAGCTCTTCAGCTCAAGGCTAGTGCTCTACCACTTGAGCCACAGTGCCACTGTGGCTTTTTCTGCATACGTGGTGCTGAGGAATTGAACCCAGGGCCTCATGCATGCAAGACAAGCACTCTACCACTGAGCCACCTTCCCAGTCCCTCTTTTTAATCACTTAGAGTCTGAGATACTTGGCTCAATAAGGGTAAGGAGGCCTATAGAGAACTGAGTACCATCTGAAACCTCTCCTATTTCATGTGCCATTCTGGCTTGGAAAAAATGGTGATGATGACGAGAAAAAAAATATCAGTAACAGCAAACATTCCCACCAGGCAGTCTTCTAAAGACAGTTTATGTAATCATCACAACCACAAACAAAAACACGGAGGGCCAAAGAGGTGTTACATGAGGAGGCCAAGACACGCAACTATTAAGTGGCAGGTCGGGATGAAGATATCTAAAGTCTACCTCTAGAAGGCGAGGCTGAGTTTACCATGCCGTGTTTAAGAATGGGAGTGGAGGGAAGCAACTATTAAACCACTCTAGCCTGAACTTTGCAATGCCCCGCCCCTACGTCGTCTGCTCTGCCCCCAATCCTCCTCCCTCCGGCCCAGACCCCAAAGTTCCAGATTCCGCAGGTTGCTCCCCGCTGATTCACCTTCCTTCCTGGCCCTTTCCATTTCCATGGCTTCTGGATTTTTCCTCACCCTGCCCCCATACACACCTCGCCAACCCTTTCGCAACTTCTGCCACATTCTCACATCAGCCCCTTTCCTATCCCGCAGAAAGTCGACCCACGCATGCACCCTACTCGCCCAAAGCGTGTGTGAAGGGGACAAAAGCGGGACCGCGGCATTACGGTACCCGCACAGGTCTCACCTGCTTCCACTCTGACCTCCACATGAATTTTCCCAGTCGTGCCCACTGCGCGTGCGGCAGGCAGCTCCTTTCTTTCTCCGCCCTTCCCTCCAAGATCTGCGTCTCCGATTGGTGGGGCTGGCCGCAGTGACTTCTGGGAAACGTGGTTTGTAGCCCTCTGCCGGCTCTGAGACTTTCGGTAGATGAACTACAACTCCCAAAATGCCATGCAACTGCTAAACCCGCGCAGGAAACCCTTTTCTCTTTGGTGGTAGACAGTGGAATGTTGCCGCTCAGCCTTTTGGGGGTTGTAGTTCCTGGGGGAATAAATGCACGTGCCTGTCGTGACCCTGAGCTAGGGATTGCAGGAGGGGCCACTCTAGGGCTCTGGGAAGGAGGGTGTGAGCCCAGAAATGGTTACAGTAAATTTATAGTTGGTGAAAGACTACGAATGGGCACTTTGGACAAAGTTGTGATGACATACATAACTGTTTACTTAGAAACCTTACAGAAGCTAGACATCGTCTCCTTTTTGAAGCTCTGATAGTCCTGTGTTCAGGGTGGTGAGACTTTGATTATCACAGAGGAACTTAGAAAACCATCTGCAAGAAGAGATTCATTCAACGTCATACACCACCAAGTCGGCAGGGCCCTGGTCTCTGGGACACAATCTGTGTGTGCAGGTCCTGGAGCTTGAACTCGGGGACCACGTGCTGCTTCGAACCTCGATCCTTTTATCTCAGCCCCCCAAACAGCTAGAATTACAGGTGTGAGCCACCGGCACCCAGCACTTTTTTCCCCTTAAATATTTGTCTATGGAAAAGTTGTAAGAATAGTACAAAGAATGCATGTGTATCCTTTCTCCAAGTCACTTCTTAGCAATTTGCCCCTTTTGCTTTCTTTTTGTTGATCTCTCTCCTTCCCTCTTCTCCTTCCTGTCCTTTCCCTGCTCTTCTCTTTCCCTCCTTCCCTCTCCCTCTTCCTCTCCTCCCCCCCACACCCCCATCCACACAAGTCTCCCCTTCACCATTCTGTGGAGAGGAGTCTGTATTTTCTATAAAAAATAAAATAAAATAAAAAGGACATCATCTTGCTTGAGTAAATGTAATCTACCTTCTGCATTCCAATTTTGTCAGTTGAACCAGTAATGAATTTTATAGCACTCCTTTCCAATATAGTACACGGTCTAAAATGAAGTGTTGTATTTATTTTTCATTTCTTTTCAGCCTCCTTTAATTCAAAATATCCTCAACCTTCCTTTGACATTACATTAAAAAAAAACACCAGAATACTTATTTTGGATTTATCTGCTGTTTCCTCATGATTAGATTCAGGGTTTTTTGTTTGTTTTTTAAGCTAGGATACTACATAAAAATGTATAGTGAGTGTTGGTGGCTCACCCCTGTAATCCTACCTACTCAGGAGCCTGAGATTGGAGGATAGCAGTTCAAAGCCAGCTCAGGCAGGAAATACATGAGACTTTTTTTTTTTTGGTCAGGCCTGTGGCCTGGGTGCTGTCCCTGAGCTCTTCAGCTCAAGGCTAGTGCTGTTCCACTTGAGCCACAGCACTACTTCCAGTTTTCTGAGTGGTTTATATAGTCTCATGGACTTTCCTGCACAGGCTGCTTTGAACTGCGGTTCTCAGATCTCAGCTTCCTGAGTAGCTAGGATTACAGGCATGAGCCACTGGCACTTGGCTTCTTGAGACTATCTCTAATAAACTACTCAGAAAAAGCCGGAAGTGTTTCTGTGGCTCAAGTGGTAGAGGGCTAGCCTTGAACACAAAGAGGCTCAGGAACAGCACTCAGGCCCCAAATAGCTAGAATTAGGTCCTGGGGCTTGAACACAGGGACCACATGCTATTTCGAACCTCAATTCTTTGATCTCAGCCTCACAAATAGCTAGAATTGCAGGTGTGAGCCACCGGCACCCAGCACTTTTTTTTTTTTGGCCCCAGGACTGGCCAAAAAGAAAATGTATATTCGTTCCATTTTAACAAAACTACACCTAGATGTGGTTCTAATAGGATGGGATTCTAATTTCCCTACATTTGTAGTCTATCCACCCACCTTCTTTGTCCCCCTTCAACACAGTCAAATGGCCATTAAATACTCATGGTGACACTCTGCAGATGGTAAGATTTTCCCTTTTTTCTAACCAAGCACTCCTTCTTCCTTTGACCTCTGGAGTTTATAAGAGTTGCAAGTTTAGGTTGATATTTTCATTGTTCAAGAGAAGGTGTTCAAGCATCTGTAAGAATAGTCTTAGTATTGTCAAGAATATTGAAAATAAATCTGGATGTGAGAATGTACATGGGAGGCGGAAGCAGGAAGAGTCCAAGTATTTATTTATTTATTTATTTTTGCCAGTCCTGGGGCTGGAACTCAGGGCCTGGGTGCTGATTCTGTGCTTCTTTTGCTCAAGGATAAGCACCCTACCACTTGAGCCATAACGCCACTTCCAGTTTTTTTCTGCTTATGTGGAATTGAACCCAAGGTCTTATGCATGCTAAGCAAGCACTCTACCACTAAGCTACATTCCAGCCCCTAGTATTTTATTTTATTTATTTTTTGTTGGTCTTGGGGCTTGAACTCAGGGCCTGGACATTGTCTGTCCTTGTGCTCTTTTGTTCAAGGCTAGCACTCTGCCACTTTGAGCCACAGTGCCACTTCTGGTTTTCTAGTGGTTAATAGGAGATAAGAGTCTCATGGACTTTCTTGCTGGGGCTAGCTTTGAACCATGATCCTTTGAACTTAGCCTCCTAAGTAGATAGGTTTACAGGCATGAGCCACCAGTGCCCAGCTTGTGTTTTATAATGTTCAATTCTGTGTATCTGTAGCATTCCATTTGAGCATCATTAAAATCCACTATTTTATAGATAAGGATATTGAAGTTCAGAAGTTACATGATTCGTTCAGGGTCACTCACTACATCAGAACCAGACTGGACCAGAATATGGATCTTCCATGTCTAAGTTTTATTTTCTTTTTCTTTCCCGACATTACATTCTGAGAAGAAAATGGAATGGGAAAAGCCAGGTGGCATGAAGGCTTCATGTTGGCTTTGGTTAGTTGGAGATGGGGAGATGGCGAAGATGAAGGATAAGCCATCTAATAAGGCAAAAGTTAGAAGAGTGGAGCTGTGGTGCATTGCCTTTGAAAGTGGATCTGGCTAGTTATTACTTAGAACATGTTCCTCTCCAGCTCTTTTCCCCAGCCAGGTGTGTGAATTGGGGTTAAGAACAAGTAGATCAGCCAGGTGCCGTGGCTCTTACCTGTAATCCTCGCTACTCAGGAGGCTGAGATGTGAAGATTGTGGTTTCAAGCTAGCCCAGGCGGGGAAGTCCATGAGACCCTTATCTCCAATTAGCCACCAGAGAACCACAAGGGGCACTGTGGCACAAAGTGGTAGAGTACTAGCCTTGAGTGAAAAAGCTCAGGGACAACACCCAAACCCTGAGTTCAAGCCTCACAAGCAACCAAAAATAAATAAATAAAAGAAAAAACATACATTGTCAAACACCTACTGTGGGCCGGTTGCTTCCTAAATATATCATCTTATTTTGCCTTTTTTTTTGGGGGGGGGGTCCGGTCATGGGGCCTGAACTCTGGGTCTGGGCGCTGTCCCTCAGCTCTTCAGCTCAAGGCTAGCACTCTACCACTTGAGCCACAGCGTCACTTCCGGCTTTTTTCTTTTTGTTTATGTGGTGCTGAGGAATCGAACCCAGGGCCTCATGCATGCAAGGCAAGCGCTCTACCACTGAGCCACCTTCCCAGCCCTGCCTTTTTTTTTTTCATATCTCCAGTGTAGAAAGAACAAGATGGATTCAGAGAAGTGATTTGCTCTCAGTCACACAGCTAATAAATGTCAGATATGGGTGATAACACAGCCTGTGGTTTTCCAAGCTATAAGAAAGAGTGGTTTGTAAGTAATATCTTACATTGAGCCCTTTCTCTAGCTCAATGCCAACATAAGGGAGCAGTATTTAAAGTATGCAATCCTTTCTCTTCATGCATTTAACACAGATGTAAAGCTATCATGTTCCAGATATGCTGGATATTGGGAACATAGTGAAGACGACAGAGGAGAACCTTGTCTCGTGGGGGTTATATTGTGAGGTGGGGATGGGTGAGGTGGGAAGTTTGTTACAAGTAACAGACAAGCAGGCTGCACTGGCTTAAGCAATAAGGAGACACTATAGGAAATAATCCCAAGCAAGCAGTTCTTAGTATGGTTCACTCAGTGGCTCACCAAGCTCATTCGCAAAAGCACCTTGAGGTTGGTGGTCCTAAGTATTGTTAGGATCACATGCAAGCTCTGTTCCCTGTGAAGTGCCCTCCTCACAGAGGACTCTCTCCTTCTGCTCTCAGCCAAGGAGGAGGAAACATATTTCTCCAATGCCACTCACAAGTAACTCTACATGGGAAAGAGAAAAGTCCTCCTATCCCTGCCCTTGGCACGTCATGGAAAGGAGCGGGGCAGGAGAGATAGGGGGCAGGTGTAGACCACCACAGACAGATGGCTGCTGATAACCTCTCTCTAGCACTGACACCACACAGCAGAAACCAGAACTGCTTTTAAGGAACTTCATGATGAGGGTGAGGGATGTAGTTCAATGCTAGAGTTCCTGCTTCACATGAGTAAGGACTTGGTTTGGGTTAGATCCTCGACATCACAAAAGGAAACAAGGGAAAGAAGGTGGGGGAAAAGGAGCTGATTTCATGATGAATAGAATCCAAGGGTTCAAAGAGTGTGGGCACTCTCAACTGGGGTATATGGATGGTTGAATGGGGATGGGTGGGCTCAAAGTTTGAACAGCATTTATGGAGCACTACTGTGTTGGAGACACCATGTGGAATCCTAAGGAAACACAAGGGAAGTCAGTGTGGTTCTTGTCCTCAGGAAATCTCAGGCTGACTGGGACAGGTATGGACAGGTATGGACTCCAGCCTACTACCCCATCACCATACCCTAAGGAAATACTTCCATTATGGCCTTAAAATTTGGCCTGGAAGAAGACAACACTTTTTTTTGTTGTTGGTCGTGGGGCCTGGGCACTGTCCCTTGGCTCTTTAGCTCAAGGCTAACACTCTACCACTT